CTTTCCTGATTTCACTGCTCCTTAAAGTTCATGGAAGTCCCCTTTGCGCTAGTATATAGAAAACTATATTTTTTTAATTTTTGAGGAATATTTTATATTCTTTTTATAAGTAATTTATTTATTTGTATTTTATGTGCATTTGTGTTTTGCCTGCATGTATGTCTGTGTGAGGCTGTCAGATCTCCTGAAACGCGAGTTACAGACAGTTGTGAGCTGCCACATAGGTGCTGGGAATTGAACCCATGTCCTTTGGAAGAGCAGCCAGTGTTCTTAACCACTGAGACATCTCTCCAATCCCATTATATTCTTTTAATAGACATTAAAAGAGAGCATTTTTAAAAACATTGTACTAGTCCTCGATGTCCTGATATCACGACTGACCTTTTGAGGTGCGTGTTTTCTTTCATAGAATAAAAGTTCCAGTGCCACTGTCTCAAGAGTTCTGCAAGTTCACATTATGAAAATATATGTAATAAAATATTTATTTAGGGTTTTCATAAAAATGTCCAAAGTAGAGAATAAGAGAGTGTCTTTTGCTGGGTTGAGAGGCTCTGCAGGAAATTCAGAATGAAATTCAAGTCCCTCAAATATATTTAGATTGGCCTCCACCGTGTTTTATCTCCTGTAATGAACTCTTTGTCAGTTTGTCAATTTTCACTAAGTTCAGAAAGTTCATGTATAGTAACACAGATCCCAAGTTTAAAATTATGGTTTATATCATGATGTAATAGTCATCTCTCTTTTCCTTTAGTCAATATTTACCTGTGAGGCCGACATATTATAATCCTGACTTCAAAAGAAGACCCTTTATTTTACCTTCTTCAAGTGTTGGTTTTAAATGTTTAAAATATCAGAATTTAGAAGCTGAGCCATCCAAGACTCTTGCCTGTGGTTGCTTGGAGTAAAGTTCCTAGAGCATCAGGCAAAACAGGCGTGTGCAATTCACCAAGTGACCCAGCAGCATAGCTGTGTGCCTATCAGAGTGACTCTGCTCGACTTGGAGCCAGCTTGATTTCTCCCAGCTCCCAGCCAGCCTTTCCCCTGTGGAAGGTAAACCCGTTACGTCACCCCATAGCAGCCACTGGGCTGCCTTGGACTTGGCTTCACCTTTGTAAATGCTCCTACAAGGTTGTGAAAGAAACAACAAAACAAAACAAAAAAACAAAGAACACTTCGTGGGAGGATCTCTGTGTATCAGAACGACTGAAGAATAAATTCTATGCCTTGTCTGAACTCTTCAAGTACTCCATTTTTAAAAACTGAGGGAAGAGTTATCCCCTAGGAAGTAGGTATAAGAAATAGATAAGAGTTATAGGGCTGGAGAGATGGCTCAGTGGTTAAGAGCACAGGCTGCTCTTCCAGAGGTCCTGAGTTCAATTCCCAGCAACTACATGGTGGCTCACAACCATCTGAAATGAGATCTGGCGCCCTCTTCTGGAGCACAGGCATACATGTATACATAATGTTGTATACATAATAAAAGTAAATAAATCTTTTTTAAAAAAGAGTTATAAGTGTTCCATATAAAATATCTGATGGGCCAGTGAGATGGTTCAGTGGGGGAAAGACTCCTATCTTTAACTCTGATGATCTGAGTTTGAACCCCAGGGTTCACATAATGAGTGGAAAAACTGATTCCCTCAAGTTTTCCTCTAACATACAGATGTACATCATGGCGTGCTCACCCCACACACCCATGCATAGAAAACTCATAAATAAGAACATAATTTTAAAAACATTAAGACTGTCTAATGCCCTAGGACTGGTCACACAGGTCACCAAAGGAGCAAATGGGGATGTGTTAATAAGCTCCTTGATTTTAGATGAGATTCTCAGCAAGTCAGAATGGAAAGAGTATTCATTAGCTCAGGAATGGCCAAGTAGACAAATAAACTGGGTTCATCCCCATCTTGATCCTGGAGTTCAAACGAGGTCACCCTGGATTTTCCCATATTTCTTAGACTTGTTATTTTCTATGTTACTTTGACTGTGTGAATGAAGGTGGTTCCTGGTAACTACAGACTTATGTTGTCCCCATTTCTGGGTTCAGAAGAGAGACCCTCTTGGACAAAGTCCATGTTGGCCCTGAAAACAGGTTCAGAAACCTTTTGTTTGGGTCATATGCCTATGCCAAGAATAGTCACTGTCAGCAAGGATGGGATGTAGTGGGATTACATCAGGTGATGATCAGTTTAAGCACCTTCAACCCTATGCTTGTATCTTGAGTGTATCTTTCTCCACGCTAAATGCTTGTTTTATACATATTTTCTTTAGATGTCCATTTTGTGTATTTCCATAAATGCATATATAAGTACATCCATATATGTATTACATGTGTGTATATCCACATGTGTGTATATTTATATTCATATGGCATACCATATTTGAAAGTTTATTAACAGGGCATTCAAGAGTAAATCTTAAGTTTATAAAATACTTCTCCTGTGGCCCTAAGGGTCAGTTCCACTAGCCTGGGTACTACCTCTTTGGTGCACCTTGTAGTGGTTGAGCTATTGGAAGAAAGGAAGGACAGGAGAAAGAAACAAAATATTGATTCTATTCAATAAATATTGAGTTCCCACTATGCACCGGCACTCTTGTAGGCACTGAGCATGAACAGTCAAGAAAGGCCCTGTTTGCAGTGTTTACTCAGTAATCTTCAGAAAGGTAGTGAAAATATACTATGATACTTGACAAGGATGAGTGTTCTGGGGACAGACAACAATAAGTATCTGAAGAAGGACACTTAAAAGAAATCCCACACTAGTTCAGAATTGAATATAATAGAGGATTATTTATTTAGGGGTAGGCTCACAGATCACAATACTCTGCTCAAACAGGGAATAGTAATCAATGTCACAGCCGGAAGAGAGAGAGCACAGACTCACATGTTACATCAGCATTTATAGTATGTAAGGTTCCACCCAAGTGGGCGGGTAACTTAAAGGCTATTGGCTACAGGAATTCCTACAACACCTACCCCTTTTGTTTAAATAAGAGAGTTCTAAGCATAATACATACAATAAGAACAAATGTGTTAAGCAAGAAACGTGATAAATGTTTTAATAATTATCTTATCTAATGAGTTTAAGTCTTGTATAAGAATTAACTTGGCCAAGTCATAAGAGGGAAGTAACTACAACTATCTAGTCTTCAACCCCATCAAAGATCTGAAAAGGGAAATAATATTACTTGAGTAAGCAGGAAGTGTAATCAAGCAACAAATGACAGAGACAACCGGCTACCTGGGCAATCACCCAAAGTTTCATTTTCAATATTGGAGCAACCAACTTTGGCTAAGGCCTAGAGTAACTGACAGACCATTTTCAGAGGCAAAAAATAAATAAATAAATAAATAAATAAATAAATAAAAATTTCAAAACTGTCTTACCCTGTCTTGGCAAGATTTAACAGTCTTTTTTCTTATATCCTGCTTGTCCTGTCCAGACATTGTGCATTTTGTCAGTGGTTGATGCATGGACAGTTCTTTGCCCAAAGGACAGTTTTGCAAAGCTGAAGAATACAAGCTCCAAGTGGAGTGTCTTTGGTGTTCAACATTCTCTCAGGAATAGATTGGTGCTGCCAGGAGCAATCGTGTCTCACATCAACAGAACCCTAAGTTATTTAAATGCCATATTTTACAGCTCTTTAAAGTGGTTGAAGATTACCTATCTATGCAGAATACAATTTCTCTGTATTTAAAGAACCTGATTAGTCTAACTATAAGTATAACAAACATGGATGACTATTGACCTATAATTCTTAATACCTATATAACTTAAAGACTAAGGCTTCATATTAAAATATTAAATAGTCTTTAAGTAACTGTACAACAAATGAGGACAATTGATCTCAAAATGTAAACAATGTATAAGTATCTTGATCAGAGGTAGAAATGTATTTTTGCAATATGATAAATATATCCTAAAATTGTATCAATATACAAAATGTCTTAAGCAGAGGTAGGAGCATGCAGGCATACAATATGACAAAATAACTTTGCCTAGGTATACAAATATTGTAGATGAAAATAGGGACATATTCAATATAATTTAAGTTTGTATCAATATGCAAGAATCTATACCAATGTAAATAATAGCTCACAAGTATTCAGTCCATTATTCACTATTAATATTAGTGTGAGTAAGCTCACACTAATCTATTATCCCATCCAAGTATCAATAGATACACAGTAGGTATTTAAGCAGGCAAATAAAGAGAGGACAGAAGAACTTCTTCTTGCTTGGAGATTCTCTTTAAGTAGACCAATTTTAGGTAAAGAGATTGCTGATTGCAGATCCTGCTGAGATAGCCCAAGCATAGGAAAAAGAACCAGCCAGACAAGTTTCTGAATGGAATAAGGTAAGATGGATGCATTCAGATTAGAAAGGTTGTTATGGCAACTGCATCCACACTATGTGAAAGATCCTGCAAGCCTACCAATGTAGGTTGAGGTGAGACCGTGTATGGCCATAAACAGTGAGCTCAGAAGTAACATCACCAAATGCATGCTTTAAAGCATAACAGCAGAAGGGTAGAGAGCTAGGAAAGTGGATACAGGGGCCAGATGGGCAGGTCAGACATAGGACTGACTGAGGGCTTTGGTCAATGGATGTAGATGAAAGGCCACACTTCCAGAAACAGTGCCTTTCAGGTTTAGGGAGCCAACTAATTTCTTGTAACCTTAAAGGACTAACTTATTACCCACTAGACCTGTCTTTTATAAATATAGTGATAAGACGCCTTTAGAGATGGAAATAGTTTGTGGAGATGGTTCTCTCATTTGTTCACAGTAAAAACCACTTCATTTGTCTGGTATAGGATGAGGAAAATGACAGCAGTACTAGTCACAGGAACTACAAGTAGCTGCCAAGAAAGACTAGAACAGTGAGTGGCCAATGCTTCGGGGCCTGAGTCTGTGAGAGTGACAGGTACCCTTGGAAAGGAGGGATTCTGCTAACCTTCCAACCAGGCTAATGCTCCTTCTTATCCACTTACAGGCACCTTTGAAGTGGGTGTCCACATCGCCGACGTGAGTCACTTCATTCCTGAGGGATCCTCTCTGGATAAGGTGGCCGCTGAGAGAGCCACAAGTGTCTACTTGGTTCAGAAGGTACAAATCAGCTTTGAGTGTCCTAGATTTTACGAAGTGTTCCCACTTAGTATTCTTCCTTTATTTTTAATTTGTGAAGAACATGTGAAGAACATGTCTTTTCTGAATCTTTTCCCAGATCTAGTAAGGTCTAAAATACAGGTTTGGCACTGGGAACATGCTTGCCCTCTGTTACTGCACATGTTTTTAAAAGAAGCCAAAGCTTTCGTCTCAGACCTCCTCTTCTGAGTAGCCTTGTCACATCCTTCCAACAGTGGTCAGTTTTCAAACTATTGCTCCAAAGAAAGGCCTAAGAAACAGCTGGGTTTGTAGTTTAGATAACAACACATCTAATCTTTTGTGTTGTGTCCACTCTCACACAATAGATACCAAGTGGAATGACAGTTCACTATGTACAATAGGCCTTAGAGAAACATTTTCAACCCTTGTTCTAAATACCTGTACCAAACCTGTCCTGGTCTGCACTATACAGGTAGCCCACAGAATCCCCAAGATGGACCTGCTGTTAGATGTCCCTCACCTTAGCTATAAAAGGAAGAAATCATATCCCTTCTTGGGGCCAGGAGATGACTCAATAAATAAAATATTTGCCATGCAAGTGTAAGGACCTCAGTTTGAATTCTCAGCACTCACATAAAAGCAGGGTATGATGATATGCATTTGTAATATTAGCACAAGTGGGGGTTGGTGAAGACAGATCCCCAGAATTCACTGCTCAGCAGATCTAGCCAATCAGTGATTTTTGGGTTCAGTGAAAGGTTCTATCTCAAAAAACAAGGTGGAGAGTGGTGATGATGGAGGTGTATGCCCAGTGTTGGCCTCTGGTCTTTACACATTTGTGCATACACACACGCAGAGAGAGGAGGGGGGGTGGGGGCAGAGGGAAAAAGGAAATAAATACATCCATTCATTCTATGTAGGCTGGTACATGCCTACAAGTATCTGTGAGAATCCATCCCTTTAACAAGTATATTCTAAGCATCAGGTATCTATAGGCATTATGGTGGGCCCTGAAGACAGCTGTAAATAATAAAACATGCATAACTTGTCTCTATCTTCCACTGTAGGTCATAGATTCTTCTAGCCTTTTTGTTCTCTGATGGTGTGCTCCTATGCTCATTTTGACTCATCTTATTTGGGGCTGTGTCTAAATTTACTTCCTGTCTGGCTCCAATGAACTCAATAGCTTGAACCTTTCCTCCCCAATTCCATGCTCTAAAACATGACTTTTGGTATTTGATCATTGACTGTATCAAGGTAAAATATCTGTCCCCACTCCTGCCAACCCATTCCAAGACATTCTGGGAGCTGGATATTGTTTGTGTGGCCCCAAGCAGTGTCCAGAGACTAGCCAGGTTCCATATTTACTCTATTCTGAGAATTTACAAACACTATCACCAGGGAAGGGGTATAGCTTCCTAGTCTCTCTCTCTCTACTACAAACTGCCTGTGTGCCTTCACTGCTGGCAGAAGGAACACCAAGCTATGAATTATGCCTCACAAACAGTGTGACCTCATAGTGCAGCTGCTGCCTCTTCAGATCCCTGTTTATTTTAGGTAGAAGCTGCAAAGGACCAAGAAAGAGGTCTTCCAGGGTCTAGGTTTTCATGGAGCTTTGGGCCAAAGCATTTTTATACGGTTTATTAAACAACCTTCCCTTTCTCTTAGTTCTTGTTGGCTTCTCTTGCTCCCTCCACAATTTAACAAACAAGACCTTGAAAACATATGTATTCCTGGCTCCCTGAACTTCTACTTCCTGATGCTCCCCAGAAAGGTTTTGTGCTTTGGTGCTATGTTCTCTAGATGCTATTAAGGCACCACACAAAGGCATACACTGTGACAAACAAGAAAGACTCTGTATCAAGCAAGTTGGAAGGTGAGGACCACCTTAAGGTTATCCCCGACATCCACACATTGAGTACGCCATGTGCCTGTCTGCACTCACACAGTGCACACCTGTGTGTGCATTCACTTCTGGGGCAGTGACCTTTATTCAATTTTGTCTCTTTTTTGGTATCTATACTATATATCTTGAAGGGAAAAAAACTCATTAAACTCCAAAGCCCCCTTCTTAACTTAAACCTCTGAGAATGCAATTTTGATACTTGTACACTGGCTCCACTTAACCTCAAGCTGAAGGTGCCCCATGTGTACTTCCTGCCTGACAGTGATATTGGCCAAACCCAGCTTTTCCCTGGTCCAGACTTGGAAGAAGAAGATAAGCTTCCAGATCTCTTGTAGCAACAAAACTTCTAGTGTTGTGATGGAAAGCTCAATCTTTGAAGTAATCTGTTAAAAGCTGTGTCAAGTAAGTAAGTGTGAAAAACTCCATTTACAATAGTCTACTGCTGCCTTTTGGTCTGATGAGTTGAGAACTTAGATGCCATTAGAGCCCCTTCCTCCAAGCAGGTGGTTTTCTCTTATCTTGAAGCTGAATTCTCCTTTTATAACCAGAAAATATGTTTCAAATTAGAAACAAAAGAATAAAATCGGATTAATAACTGAGTGTTTCACTTTCTGTTCCCTTTACTTTGGTTTTGTGACTGTCACAGTTTGAGAATCTCTTTGGGAGTGCTTATTGGGGCTCTGCTGCTAAACTCTGAAGGTGGAAAGCTGGTGGGAGAAGGGCTGTGAGCCTCCACCTTGGCAGGAGCTCGAGGCACCGACCCACGGCCTTGGACGGCAGGAGCTGTGCTTTCTGATGCTTTTGAGCCGCTGCTCTGACCTTTCTTCCTTCTCGGTTTTGTTTCTTAAAGGACTGTGTCCAGGAACTTTTCTGCTGTTTTCACATTACTTTGCCTATAAAGGTCTTCTTAAAAGCTGGATGAGCTGCCTTTCCCTTGTGCATATTCTCTGCTCTCCCATTTGGCCAAATCATTTTTTCCCAACTCTGTCACTCCAGGGAAGGGGGCTGGGTATTCTGGTTGATTTCCCATCTATAGGAAATGTGGCTCTGACTTCTTTTCATTAGGATGCTGACTTATAGGTGACTGATGGTCAGAGTTACAATCTAAGCTTGGTTTGGGGAACGATCCCAGAGAGTAGAGCAATATGCAGTAGAGCCAATCCTGGATCCAGATCCTAACTCACTAGCTTTACATGAAATTCTTCTTGTTGAGATTTGACTCACAGTATAATGATTCAGTGACTCTTGCTAACAAGGAAACATAGTAAAGAGAAAGATAAATTTAAATAGTATTTGTTTAAATTTTAAAAAATGCACCCTTTCTTTTTGATAAAGATGTTTCTGTTAGGATGGGGACAACTATATATCTGTGCTTGAACCTATTCTTTTCAGAGGCCATGACATCTGCTCAGCTAATGTGTTCTCTGGAAAATAAATACAATTTAATTTTAAGTTTTAAGGTAATTAGAAAGAAATAAATATGTGAATTAAGTTTTAAAAGTAAAAGAAAACCTAAACAGTTGAAACCTAAACCTAAACTCTCTGTCTGCTGGCCCAGCCATGCATGTTATTTTAGGTGTGAAGCTCGAGTGAAAGCCCACCATAAATCTCAAGGATGTTTTATTGCTAGTGCTTTATAACAGAGATCAGAGATTGGGATCGGAACCCTGTCTTCATGTACAATCCAAGAGTTTTAACATGTTCCTTTCTGACACCAGCAGATTGTTAGCGCTGCTGTTTTGTTAATGTCAAACTGGGTAGCAAAGAGTTGATCGAATTCTGGATCATGGAAGTGTTGATATGAAAAAGGAAACCCTTTAAGCAGAGATGTTGGCTCTCAAAACATATTGTGTATTTCCTTTAGGTTTCTTCAGTCTGTGAGCAGGGAGCTAGCTGAGCATACCTTGGTGTGAAAATCTCCAAGCCTTCAGAAAAGGAGAAAATACCAACTTGCCATGCTGCAGATCTGGGGTGCACTGAGGGTATAAGGGGAGGGTGACCTGGGGAACTAGCTGGTAGCTTAGCTTAAGAAGACGGTGGAAACCCCATTACTTGTGAATGTCTGGCCTGATGTCACTGCTCATCCTTCCTGTCCCCCTGCACCCAGATGATTGATTCTTCCCTCTGTGGCCTTTCAACTGGTCACAGGGCTGTCCTGGCTCACCCACTGCTGAACTTGGCTAGCCTGCTTGCTGTGGCTTTAGCAGATGTTTCTGTTCTCTGAGCCTCATGTAAGATTTTATAGTCTTATTGGTACCCCCACCCAGCACTATTGGGCAGTGGTGTATTGACCTAAATGGCCAGTTCCCTCAGCTCTCCCAAACCCTGGTCCAGAATCTTAGAAAGTCAGGGTCCTGTCATCGCTCCTTTTTTTCCCTTCACCAGCCTTTAAGCTCTGTCAGGACAGAGCTTTGGGCTTATGTCTGAGATATTCTCCAGCTCTCTTCCTTTTCTGCTGCCAGTTCTATCATTCTTCACCACGTAGCAGTACTGACACAGGACTGCTGTGCCAGGTGTCAGGGATGCAAAGCTGAGAGAAATGCTGGTCCTGCAGTCCTGGTTCTGGTCAGCATGTTTGCAGGCTGGAGAGATGGTTCAGCAGTTAAAAATTCTTACTGTTCTCACAGAGGACCCAAATTTGGTTCCCAACACCTACCTGGCATCTCAAAACCACCTATAACTCTAGTTCCAGAGGATCTAACCTTTCCTTGCCTCTGTGGTAGCGCACAGAAGCTCACACAGGCACACACACACACACACACACACACACCCCACACACACACAGACGCACACATATGAACAGTAAATAAATAAAAGCTTTAGAGTCAGTGTGTTTGAGGAACAGTATGTAGTGTGGACTGGCTGAGGTATGAATTACAGTGATTGCCAAGAGGGGAAATTGGAGGAGAGGCCTGAAGTGGCAAACTAAGAAGCATGGGTTATGCTGGGCTTCGAGAACAGTTGAGTGACCTTCCTTCTAAGGATAAACTCACTTGAGCACTCTGGATAAAGGGGAATTAAGCCTGAATCAGGGCTAACATTTCAGTGCCAGGATCCTTTCCACACCACTGTCCCTTGAAGCTTTGAGTAATTGCCCCCAGAGGCAGACCCTTGTTCACATACTCTCCAAAGGGTTTATCAGGGCTATAGGATCTAACTGAATGTCGCCCCTAGTTCCAGAAATGCCTATCATACAGCAAGAAGGAGGGAGAGGAAAAGGGTGGGAAAGTGGAGAATCTATTTCTCTAGGTATTGCTACTGCCTACATCAAGATAGATGCAGAGAGCTGATTCTCCTTAGTAGCTCTTTGTGTATATGACTTCCCATCAGTGACTGTAAGGACTCAACCCTGCTCTTACTATGTTTTGTTTTTGCTGTTGTAGACTTGTAGACTTATGTATAGCTCAGGGTCTTCCTGCCTCTGTCTCTATCACCATATCCAACCTATGGGTCTAGTCTTTAATGAAGGCTTCTTGGTCCAACCAAAAGTATCAGGGCCTCTTTCATTCATAAAAGACCCAAATCCAGTTGCTGAATCCAGCTCATCCAGCTCATTGATTCCTGGGAAAAGGAAAGGCAATAGACCCTATTATAAATAGGATTCCTAAAACAGAGAATATAGCAATTACTGGCAGATCACCTGCCTGAATAGGATTTCAGGTTATCACTAAATGAGGTGTAGTAAGAAAGAAGATGCATGGCCTGGAGCACTTGCCTCATAATCATCAAGTGGTCAAGAGCACTTGCTGCATAATCATCACCAAACTTCAGAGATAACCCAGTACCCAGGTTAACACGACAGGTATCCTTACAGAGCACCTGTAACTCAAGCTCCAAGGGATCTGACCCCTTCTTCTGGCCTCTGCTCATGCACAGATGAGATGCACACACACACACACACACACACACACACACACACACCACTACCACTACCATCCATGCTAAATAAACAAATAAATAAATCTTAAAAGTAAAAAACATACACCGAAGAATGGATAAGGAAAATGTGGTACATTTATACAATGGAGTACTACACAGCAGAAAAAATAATGACATCTTGAATTTTGCAGGAAAATAGATGGAGCTAGAAAACATTATTTTGAGTGAGGTAACTCAGACACAGAAAGACAATTATTATGTGTACTCACTCATAGGTGGTTTTTAAACATAAAGCAAAGAAAAACAGCCTACAAACCACAATCCCAGAGAACTTAGACAACAATGAGGACACTAAGAGAGACCTACATAGATCTAATCTACATGGGAAGTAGAAAAAGACAAGATCTTCTGAGTAAATTGGGAGCATGGGAACCTTAGCAGGGTTTACAGGTGAGAGGGGAGAAGCAGGGAGGGGGGCCGAGAAAAATGTAGAGCTCAATTAAAAATTAATTCAATCAATTAAAAAAGTAAAGAACATGCAGAAATCTGGAGAAAATAAGGGTGTTGATGTTTGCTTCAGCAACACACATATTAAAATTGGGATACAGAGATTAAAACTGCCATTAAATAAGGCTTACATGTAAATTCGAAAAGTTTCCCATATTTTAAAAAATAAAAAACTTCAGAAGTAAACTTTGTTTTTCTGTTTTCCATTATTACCTTGAAATACCTAAAGCTATGTATGAGGTTTATTAAGTTCAATTTTATGTCTTGAGTTTTTGTTTGTTTAATAGTTGATTGGTTGAGTTGGCTTGATTTTTATTGTTATTTGTTTGTTTGTTTGTTTGGTTAGTTTTGAGACAAGGTATCATGTAGCCCAGGCTGACTTTAAACTCTCCAAGCTGAGAATGCCCTTGAACCCCTGATCTTGCCTCTACCTCCCAAGGCTGGGATTAAAGGTACATGCCGAATTTTGAAGCCTGGAAGTCCCAGCAGCCTAGGACCATCTCTAGTGAGGTGCCCTCTTTGTTCCACCTCAAGGCAGGTGTATTGTATTGGCGGGAGCTAGGAAAAAAAAATCATGTGGTAGAATGGGAAACTAGAATGAAAGGAGGAGCCAGATCCATAAACCATTTTGAGAAACTTCAAGTGAAGAGACAGAGGGTGTGGCTATGGGAAGGAATAGAGTCTGGAGTTAAGGGCTATTCTACCCTTGTGCTCTGACCATGGAGAACCAAACCAGCTGAGCAGGGAGTTCACTTAGCAAGAGCTACAAACAGTTAGACCAGGCTTAAGACAAGGGACACAGCACCCCTGAAAAGTTAATGAAATTGGCTCAAAAGGATGGTTGATTGAAAATACTAGAAAGGGCCTGAGTCTATAATCCCTATGTAGAAGAGTTGGGTTTTTCTATTGAGAAAGAGTAAGAAGGCAGTGGGATAAATTAGAGGTGAGCTGTAATGAGTGTGAAGCCTCCGCACAGCTCAGCACATTTCCTGTCACCATCAATGTTCAGACAGTAGAGTGCCCAGAACAAAGAAGGCAGACTCTGAGGCAGTTGGGACAGTGGGATTCGGGTAGCTGGGAACTGTGGTGGAGTTCCATGCTATATAGGGAGTGTGATGAATGCAGGCCTGGAGAGAAATACCAGAGTCCAGTGAGCATGGGCACTAGCCCTGTGCTATTGGCAGCAGGAGTTTCTCTACAAAGAAATCTTTCCTGGTTATCCTTGGTGCTCTGCACATCACTCTGACCCATAGTTTCTCCCGATGCTGGGACAGACCTCATATAGCTCACATGCTGCATAGAATCAGGGTACCATTCTCCCTTCTCACCTGCCTGGGCAGGCATATGAGAAAGTGGCTTTTAAGAGAGGCCCCACTTCAACAGCCCTCTTTCACAAGGAAGCCTGCTGCACTCTGGGTTGAGCAGAAATGCGTGCACAGTGACCCCTGGAGGACCAGTGGATTTATGAGAAGCTGTGATATGCCAAACCACAAATGTGATCATAACCTCTTAATTTCTTCTCCTTTAAAAGACACAGGCCTAACTACCTATTTACAAAACTGGATGAACATGGACTGTTTGCTCTGAATTCCATTTGATTTCTTCCTCAAGATCTAGTAGAAAATTTATTAAAAGGACTGTCCCCTAAAAAAAATAAATGCAATTATGCTCCCACCGATTCTTCATGAAACTTGAGTTCTTTGGCATCTGACTAGTAGGAGGAGCAAATCAGTTTTGATAACCTGGGCAGACACAGGGTGTGCTGGTAGTGTTTTGTTTTGTTTTGTTTTAGCAGAGGGTAGCCAAAATTCTTCCCTTTCTACTGAAAGTACAAGTTATGTAAAGACACTGCTATAGAATTCTGCTGGCAAGGATTTCATGAAGTGGGTTTTGTGTGTGTGTGATACAGTAAACAGAGAAAAATCTCCCAGGTTATTCATTTCCTAACAGAAGTCAGTCATCTGCATACTAATAGTGCATATTGTGTTGAGGGTACTAGATAGAAGGACAGAGCCAGACCTCTCTATGTTCTTAGAGTTTCCATAGCCTGGAGCACCTAACAAGGCATCAGGATGTAGTGTGGCCAGGGCCGTAGAAGCGGTGTGGAAGAGCAGGGAGGGTGGAGTAAGTAGCTTATTCTTTGGGTCTGCCCCACAGCCTCTGCGAAAGAGCAGGGGAAGTTACAAAACAGTACGTTCTCTGCCTGGGGGAGTCTGGATAGGCCCTGAAAATGGCAAGGAGCAGAATCTGAAAGGATATGTCAAAGTTTGCCTGAAGCAAAGTGTCCAGAAAGGTATTCCAGAAAATGGGAACACCATGTGCACAAGCTGGAGCAGAGAGCAGGCAAGGCAGGTGAAGGGCTTGCAGTGGGAAGGCCCACAATCTAGAACCATGTGTGTTAGAGGGGAGTACCTGGGCACAAGGCTGAGTGAGGAAGACTGAGCCAAGGGTCACAGGACTTGGACACCTTTAGCTAACTTTTATTGAGCATTTCAGAGCTATTTCACTTTGAAGAAAACCTAGGTCCAGAATTGTCCTAGCTGACTGCATCATCATGAAGTGCTGGGCCTAGGGTCTGATTTTGAGCTCAGTCTCTGTGTCAAAGCCTCCTTTACTCGCTTACACCTGCTGCCACTGCACTGCTTCAGCTGTTTGATGGTCTAAGACCTCAAGCCCCACCCAGCTCTTCATTTTATACAGAAAATTTTAGCCTCATACTTGTTTATAAAAATAGATAAGGCTTAGTATGTATAATAAGCATAAATTTATATTTAAATATATAATAAAAGATCAATTAATAGAAAGCATAGCTTTTTAAAAAGTAAGCTCTTCTTTTGAAATGTTTTTAGACTTACAGAAAAATTGCAAAGACAGAGAGCCTCCATTGCCTGCGTCATACATTGCCATATTCTCTCAACCAGAGCTAAGAGACTGCCATTGGGACACTGCTGTTAACTGTACTTCATCCTTTGTTTGGATTTCAACTATTTTTCCATCAGTGTTTTCTAATTCAGGGTCTGGTCTAGGCCCATGATGCAATTTTTTTGTTGTTTTGTTTTGACAAACACTAAAGCATTGATGTCTGGAGTTGTGTTATATTACATTATCAGATACTGTCTTGGGACTTAAAGTATGATATTTTCTTGAACAAATACTCTTTAATTAGAGAGAGAGAGAGAGAGAGAGAGAGAGAGAGAGAGAGAGAGAGGAAGAAGAAGAAGAAGAAGAAGGAGGAGGAGGAGGAGGAGGAGGAGGAGAGAGAGCGCTCTGGACTAATCATTGCAGTAAGCATGCTGGTTAAGCATCACAGACTGAGTGACTTAAGCAACACACCTTTAGTTTTTCACAGTTTTGGAAGCTTAAAGTACCAGTTCCAGATGCTAGTTGATGTGATTCCTGGTGAGACAGTGTGCTCTTTCTGCAGAGGCTTCTAGAAGTGAACCTCTATCACCTTCAACTCACTCTAGAAGCTCAAGCTGGTCACCAAAACTCTGCCTCTGTGCTGCCTGAGACAGACTCCTGCAGGTTGAACAAGGATGCTCAGAAACTCTCCTCTGTTCACAGGTAGTTCCGATGCTTCCCAGGCTTCTATGTGAAGAACTGTGCAGCCTCAACCCCATGACTGACAAGCTGACCTTCTCTGTGATCTGGAAGCTAACCCCTGAAGGCAAGGTAACAAATTGTACTTTGTCATTCATTCTCCGCTTACCACTGTCCCATCCTGTGTGTCATGGTAAGCACCCACTGTGTGCCTGCACTAGACTGAAATTTCATAATGGGTGGATGCAGAAGATCTGGGGTAGCTGCTGTAGGGAAGACATCTTAGGGCTCTTGCCTAAGAGGCAAGACTGACCCTACCTACTGCCAGTATTTAGCAGCTAATGGAGAGCACTAATTGTGGCGATGGGAGATTAGGTAGGAGATGGTCCAGTGAGGCTGGATGTACGTCTGGAAAGCGGGATAGGAAGCTAGGCTATAAATGAATTGTGGGAGTCTGTGTTCTACTAATGTCCTGGGGAAGATGGCAACGAAGGCTGCAATATCCTGTGAGATGGCTGGAAATACGAAGACTAATAAAGAGTAGTAGAGTACCATTTCAGTCCTAGAGTGAGGTAAGGAAAACACAGATAAGAAGGCTGTCAGCAAGCACTCCCTATACACAATGAGGAAAGAAGATGGGTAAAGATTTCACTTGGGAAAACCAGTTCCCTCCTCAAAGTGAGCAACTGTAAACATCACAACAGGGTCATGTTTGAGAACCTAGGGCTTACTCAGCACAGGCTTCTGCAAAGCTGGTGGCAAATACCATGAAAGAACATGAGAAATGTATGTTATAATAATAAATGGAAGTGAAAAAAGATGCTTAATTATAAATAAAGATGGAAGATTAAATAACCACACTGATTTTCATTCCATCCGAAAACCTCACTAAAACAACAGTAGAGAGATTTAAAAAAAGAAGAAGAAAGAAAGAAAGAAAGAAAGAAAGAAAGAGGAAAAAAGACAAACCCACAAGGACAAAGAGAATGGGAGAAGAGACAACAGCAACAAAATCTTGGAACCAGGAGAGCAGATGGATGAGTGGTAACTGACTTAGCAGTCCTGAAAAAGTCTAGTCCTGAGCCAGGACAGAGGGAGCCAAGAAACAAAAATTCAGAGGCTGACAGAACCAGATAACTCTGGGAGGTGAGGGAGGGGTGAATGAAGTGAGTCTGACATCAGTATTGGTGGAAAGTTCATTAAAAAGATTGACCCTCCTAGTCTTAGCAGAAGACCCAGAGATTTTTTTCTATAACTAATGCAAATGAAGGTGTGTCTGAAGCAGGCACACCACTCTTGATAGTACAGTTCTTCACAGAGCTTCAGGATCTAGGAGACAAGGAAAAGACCCAGAAAACTTCTATAAAGGGCCAAGAGAAAGCCACACACAATAGACCAGAAGGCAGAGCAAGTTCGGACTCTTTCATAACAATCTTAGAAGCTTTGCGATACTGCAGAGAGAGCTTGTTTCTGTCTTGAAGGCTAGGATCCCTATAAAATGTACTCAGCTAAGCTGACGGTAAACTGAAAGTCAAAAAACATATCTTTAGGGCCTGGAGAGATGGCACAGCAATAAGGGCACTGTCTGCTCTTCCAGAAGACTGGGGTTCAATCCCCAGCACCCACATGGCAGCTCACAACTTTGTGTAACTCCAGCTCCAGGAGACACAACAAACCTTACACAGACATACACAAAAGATAGATAAATAGATAGGTAGGTGAGTAGATCGATAGATAGTAGATAGACAGGTAAATAGGTGGGTGAGTGGATGGATAGATAGATAGATAGATAGATAGATAACAAAAAGCATATCTTCAGGCATGTGAAGTCTCAGAAACAAAGCAGCACTTATAAGGCCCTTTTTCAGGAAGCTTTATAATGTCTTCTTGGATCTATAATCATAGAAGCTGAGGCAGAAAGCTTGTGAGTTAAAGGCCAGATGGGGTTACTCAGAGAAAACGTCTCAAAAATGAGTGAGAAGAGAGGGGAAATAAAAGGGAACAAAAAAGGAGGAGGAGGAGGAGGAGGAGGAGGAGGAGGAGGAGGAGGAGGTGGAGGAGGAGGAGGAGGTTGATGGCTTTATGGTTAAAAGTACTTGCCATTGCAAATGTGAGGGCTTGAGTTCAAATCCCCAGAAACCATGGAAAGTCAGGCCTATTTGTGAGTATCTCTTGTCCCAGTGTTCCTACTTTGAGATGTGGAGCAGAACAAAGAGAATCCCTGGAAGCTCTGGGCCCACTGCCTCAATCTATACTAGAAAGTGGGAACTGACTCTTGAGATTGTCCTCTGGCATCTGCATGTGCACCATGACAGGAGTGCCCACATACAAGTGCACACTATGTGAGATCATAAATTCATGTCCATTTTAAAAAGACATAGCAGAAAGCTTGCTGTCTCTCCTCTGACATGTGGAAGATGCTTTGTGAAAGCAGCTGCTTTGTTGGAGTCATGAAGATAGCCCTCACCAGGCATTGGACTGACTGGCACTTGATCTGGAACTTCTAGCCTTCAGAACTATGGGAAATGAATTTCTATGGCTTAAACCACTTGGTTTGTGGTGGTATTTTGTTATAGCAGCCTGAACAGACTAACACAATATCAGATGAACTTTGTTAATGAGGTTATATAAAAATCCACTGAGAATAGACCTTTTACCCAGGCATGACTTTTTAATGTATAGTGGCCATTTAGAAAGTACTGACTTAATGCTGATCTCTAACTGTGGGCACATTTTATTATACAGTATTTTTAAAACTACATTGTTAATGGCATTGCTTTTCTTATTAGTCAAATATTTTCAGTATTAGAAAGCCCACAAGCTCATATATTAGATGCAGGGTTACTAAAATTCTAATTTTATTAAAGTTCAACTTGTGTCATCAATGATAAGCAATGTCAATTGTTTCCGTGAAGTACAAATACCTCAGTCTAAATAGCCATGGTTTCCATGTCAGCTGTTCTTCATATGAAAATGATATCTTTGTGAGAATGTTACCAGTTTAACCTACAGATAGTTATATGCGTGTTTGTCCTCCAAAGGTCATCCTCCTCCCTCATGAAGTTTAAGTGACAAAGACAAGTACTTGGGGTTGAGACATAGAAAAGTAATGGATTTTACTTGTCCAGTGAGAACATTCTAAATTGATCTAGCTCTTTTATCACTGCCAGTGTGTGGTGGGGGGAGAGCTGTGACAGCTATGTCCCACACAGGTGAAATAGTTCACCTGCCAAGGCTTCTAGACCATTGCTGTAAATGGCAGTATACAGTCAGTTTGTGTAATACCCTGGATTATGACTGAAAATAGTTTGGACCACATAGACCCCTAAATGGAACTCAGAGGCCCACAGGAGTCCATGAACCATATTTTGAAAATAAAGACTAATGTTTGATTAAGCAAACTAAAATAAAACAGATATGAATCTGATGAAAGAGAAAGCTATACAGTGAAAACTTTGTGTTTTAATAGTTCTGAGACAGCTGCAGCTTGGGCTGCATAGTGAGTGCTAGGTCCGTCAGGGCCACATAGTAAGACCCTGTCTCAAAACAAACAAAAAGATAATGTTAGAATGATATATACTTTAATTAGAAAAAATTCAACTATAGATAACATAAGAAAAGCATCACAATAAGCCCCCATCCCTGTATCCCAGATTCAGTACTGTCAAGACTTTGTTCTCTGTTAAGACTATAGCTTTTTATCTGCTTGGGAGGTAGAAAAGACAAGATCTCCTGAGTAAACTGGAAGTGTGGGGATCATAGGAGAGGGTAGAAGAGGAGGGGGGATGAAGGGAGGGGAGCAGAGAAAAATGTATAGCTCAATAAAAACAAAAACATAAAAAATTTGTAAAGAAAGAGAGTCCTCCTACCTCCACGAGCCCCATGTGCTTATCTAATGTCACCAAACTGTGAACCACAAGTGAGGACATTTGTTTCTCCTGATGATTAAAACAACAGACAAATTACAGAGAATTTATAAAAGGAGATATTTGATGTAATTTTCTTCATTTTTATGCAAAAAAGACTACAGAATTTTAAAACAAACTACAGACATGTCATTTCACTCCTGTGTGTTTTGATATATGACTAAAAATCTGAGCATTTTCTTATATAACCACAGTGTTCTCAGCATACCTAACGATGAATACTGGTGTCAGGATGTCATCCAAGCCTAGTCCCTAATACATTTCCTTGGTTCTCTCCAGTTGATTGGTCTAAATTGGAATCAAATAGTTAAAACATTGCATTTGGTCTTTATAGTTTTTAACTATCTGTACAAAGTTCCTTTTCAAGATCTAAAAGGCAAACATTATCTGAACTATAGAGAAGGAACTATGAATATAGTGTGCCAGCAGCCATATTCTGGTGGACATGGGAGCAAGCTTGGGGGCAGTGAATGGAAAAAGAACAAAAGGAAACAAAAAAGAATGCCAATAGTAGTTATATTTGGATAGTGGAACGGTAATTTTTTCTATTTTCTAATGCTCTTTAAAATTTGAATAACTTCTATATTTTTATACTTTTAAAATTTATAACTAAATAGAAAATAAAAGCCCATAGAAGCATCCTAATTTGAATCAAGAAAAGAACACTGTATCTGAATTATGCTGATAGGGCAGACCTGAGAAATTGAAGCTGCCTAGTCTAATGCTTAGCTAGAATATGGGGGTCATTAAAGAAACACTAGAAAAAATGTAAACACTAATACTCACTGGCTTTTGGGTTGTTTTTGGTTTTGGAAACAGTGTATGGAACCCAGGTCTTCTGCACAATGAGGGCTGGAAGACAGGTGAAAGAGAGGCACATGTCTACAAGAGTGCTGGGCCCCACTCCAAACCACACCAGATAGGAAGTATGAGGGTTGGAATTGTGGACAGGGTTGTGGGGCAAGGTCCACTAACCACACTCTTCACTCTGTGGTCACCCAAATATCCTCCCTAGACCCAGTGACCACATGAGAGGTAGATCAGTTGGTATAGTCAAGATGCCCATAATGAAAGATTCAATACCATATTCCAGGCCCTAGGACTCCAGTCCAAGACACTGTAAAGGAAAACCTGAGCCAAGCTTGAGACCAGATGAGAAGTCAGGGTGCCACGGAAGGCCCTAGAGACCAAGATAGCCCCTCTTCA